AAAATAAAAAAATAAAATAAAAAAACTAAAAACTAAACAACAAAAAGCCAAACAACCCAATTAAAATTTGGGATATTGAGTTAAACAGAAAGTTCTCAGATGATGAAAATAAAATGGATGAGAAATATTTTCTTAAGTGTATAACATCTTTAGTCATCAGGAAAATTCAAATTAAAACTATTTTGAGATTTTACCTCAGTCATAATGGTTAAAATCCAAAAAAAGCAACAAAGACTTGTGCTGTTGAGGATATGGCAAAAAGAGAAGACCTATTCCCTGCTGGTGGGCATACAGATCAGTGCAGCCACTGTTGAAATCAGTGTGGAGGTTTCCCAGAAACCTTTAAATAGATCTCTCACATGATCAGCCATACTAGTTTTGGGCATATACCCAAAGGACTCTGAATCCTTCTACAGACATCCTGCTCATCCACATTCATTGCTGTCCTAATTACAACAGCCATGGCTAGAAAATGGAAACAGCCTAGATGCCCATCAACTGATGAATGGATAATGAAAGTATGCACATTTACACAATGGAAGTTATTCAGCAGTCAAGAAAAGTACAATTATGTAATTATGTAATTTGCAGGATGGAACCAGAAACAATCATCCTAAGTGAGGGAACCCAGACTCAGAAATACAAAAGTCTCATGTTCTCTCTCATAAGAAGATGGTAGCTTTGAATCTTTAGATAGATATATTTCAATTGGAAAATCCTTAGAGATCAAGAAACCAATAAGGAACCAAGAGGACTGGTTCACAGGAGGGGGACAGAATGCAGTGACACAAATGGGAAAGGAGCATAACAGATTGGATGGGTTGATGGGGTGGGGAACGGGAGCGCAGGGCAGAAGAGGGAGCAAAATAATGGATAAATAACACTAAAGGCCTTTTAAAGGCTCATATGGAAATCTATTATAGAAACCTCTTTTAATATATACATATGAAATATAAAAAGCTGTATAAATGTAGTTACTTTGCAACAGTGGTTCAATGGCCTTCATCTACACCACAGGCTAGCAAAAGAAAACAATGGACAGGAATGGACTATGTCTTTTGCAGTTCTTCACAAGAGAGATCCAAGAACTCCTCAAAGAATACTAGCTCTTGCAATTACAATTGGTTATCCACTAGAACTGGATGGTAGGACCATATTGATGAAGAGACTACATACCTTCATCACAGAACAAACAAGGAGTAATCAAGTTAGTAAGCTAGCATTGACCTTGAAGCTACATGCTGATTAGCTTTCACAATACTAGAAGCTACATTGCATGTTACTTACAGCTTACAAGACTGATGATACAAGACTGCATTAACCTTACCAAAGTCTAAATAATACAAGCCATAATAACAACTGTCTTGGCAAAATATGCCTACTGGTGCAATAGTGGCACAAATGTTATGGCAACAACTAATCACTTTCTAATTGTATATAAGGTTCACTTTACAAGATAGAGTTCAAACTTAACAATGTGATATTCCATTGTTTTACCAGATGTATAAAGCTATGAATGTTTCCTTAAAATTGTCTTATTAAATTTTTGCCATTTTCATGCAATATAATTTGATGATATTTAGATTCCCTCCCCATTCACACCTTTCCTACTCTCCCTTGTCAAATTCAGTGAATTGCAGTACATACAAAATATGCTCTATAGCATCTGATTTGTGTCCCCATATGTCCCTCAGCATGAGTTCATCCAGTGGAGTCTAATCAATCTACAAAAGTTCCATCCCTGTAAGATACTGCCTCTCCCTACCAGAAGTCACTAGTTGCCAAAGTTTCTAAGTTGAGGTTTGGGTTTCTTTTTTAAAAAATTATTTTATTATTTTTATTTTATGTGTAGTAGTGTATTGCCTGCCTGTATGTGAGTGCACCTATGTTGTGCAGTGCCGCAGAGGTCAGAAGAGGGCTTTGGATTCCCCTGGAACTGGAGTTAAGGATGGTTCATAGCCTCCATGTGGGTGCTGGGAATTGAATCAGGTCCTCTGCAAGAGCAGTCAGCCCTCTTAACCGCTGAGCCATCTCTCCAGCCCCAAGGTCTGAGTTTCTTAGTCACTTCCCCATGTGTATCCTGGGAATTTGTCTAGTTCGAACTTACATGGAACATGAGCTGTCACAATTTCTGTGAGTTTTGTATGTATAACTAACAAGCTGACTGGAAAATGCTATTTCCTTGTGATCATCTGGAAACTCTGGATCTTCCATTCTTTCTGCCTCCATTTCCACAATGATTCATGAGTCTTGGGAGGCAGAAGTTTGAAATAGGTGTCCTATTCAGGGATGATCACTCTGCAGCCTCTTGTTTTCTGCACATAAGACAGTTGTGAATTTCTGTACCAATCACCACCTGTTGCTTTAGGAAACTCTCGTGGACCCAGTTTCATAAAAACAGTACTATTGGACATGAGGACACAAATTAACCACAACTCAGCAATAGTAGGTGATTTCAATATTCCACTTTCTATAATAGATCATGTAGACAAAGAATAAGCAGAAAATCATCTGAATTAAGTGATGCCACACACGAAATGGACCTAACAGATTTCTGCAGAATACTCCACTCAAGCACGAAAGAATACATATTTTACTCAGCAGCAAGAAAGTATCTTTAAAACAAACCACATATTGGAGTACAAAACAAACCTGAAAAATACCAAAAAACAAAATCAACAGCAAAAGAAGCTCTAGTAACTCCATATGTCAAGATAGAAATAAAAGTATTCCTGGAACTAAATGAAAATGATAACAAAACATAATAAAATCGCTGGGGTCATTAAAAGAAGTTCTAAGAGGGAAACTTACTGTTCTAAGAATTGACACTAGTAAGAAAGAGCACAGATAAATTACCTAGTGGTGCAATTCAAGAATCTTGAAAGTCAAAAATCAAACCCAAACAAAAGAGATAAGAA